ACAGCCCCAGGCTCTGTGGCAGGGCGAACACACAGCCTCTGGCAGAGGGAGCCCGCGGGCCCAACACAGACCCTTTGAGAGAAGGCCAGGCTGCAAGGTTCTAGTGTGCAGCACGTGGCTGGGGAAGTGAGGGATGCTTGTTCTCTCCTTGGCCAGGCTACAGACTCGCTGTTGTGATCTGGGGTGCACAAGGGAACGGGGGACCCTCCGCGGGGCCTCCCACTATGCTGAACGTGGCATTGCTGTCAAGGCTTTGCGTGAGGGAGGGGAGGAGCTGACTTGATCGGACACAGTGAGGGGAGGATTCACATGGAGGAGCAGCACGGGCAGACCAGGCCGATGTCACTCAGAGGAGCCCGGAGCCCTGGGGCCCCAGTGGTCCATTTTAGATTCATAGCAAAGGGAAGGAGAGGGATAGGACACACGATGCTCAGGCCATTGCAGTCAATGTCTCCTGCCCAGTGTTCTGGAATTTCAGCTGTATGTCTCTCTGGGGATGACTGCAGGCTTTAAGGCTGAAGTTGTGCACATGATTTCCTGATGACAAAGGGACTTGCACACCACTCAGCAGGGCCTCCCAAGCTCTTGAGGACATGACACAAATGTTGCTGTTATGTCCAGAATGTCCTCACCAACAGGGGCTGATGGGCAGCAGGGGGCGTGACCCTGAGCAGGAACCGGCTTGGGGCTTAACCCATCCCGTGTGTCAAACACATTCGACATGGGTGGAATGGCATGGGGGAGCCCAGCTCAGGGGAGAGGGAGTGAAGAGCAAGTGCTGGTTGGGAGTCCTGCCAACCCCTCGAAGCAGGGCTGCAGCTAAGGCTCCCAGACTGCAAGAGGCAAATAACAGGGCGGAGGGAAGAGAGATCAGCCCACCAGGGTCTCACTGGCTCCTCCTTGGGAGGCTCTGGAGAGTTGCAGCTCTGCTGATCAAAGAGAGTGCACCTGCCTCAGCACTGCGTGGGGGGAGGAATCACACCTTCTGGTCCACACAGCATCCTCCCTGGCTTCCCTGGGAAGGAGAGCCCTCCCGGGCAGGGGTTATGTGACCAAGAGTCACAGCAGAGGGGGTCCAAAGGGCAGAGGGGAGGGGCTGGGGAGGAATTTCAAGAGCTGTGGGAAGGAGAAAGGTATCAGCCCTGATCCAGGTGCTTGGAGGAGTAGCGGGGTTCAAGGGGAAATGCAGAAGCCACACCTGTGTCTGGGCCTTCTGGAGGGTGACAGAAGCGTGCAGCCTCAGCGTGCTGTGTGGGCAGAAGTCACGCGGCAAGGCCAGGGTCCCAGGGCCCTTGGGCGGTGGCAGCACAAGTGCCCACAGGCAGCCGTCCAGGACCCTTCTGCATTCAGAGCCCAAGCCAAATCAGGCACAACGCGGAGCCAGGGTCCAGCAGGTGGGAAAGAAAGACGGTGCTGGACAACAGACCCTGGAGGTCCCAGGTGCAGCGCAGTCACCAGAGAGACCCCCCACAACCAGCTCCACGCTGGCTGCTGCCCACAACCTGCCTGAGACTGCTCAGACTTTCTAGTAAGCATTTACTAGCCCAGCCCACGGGGCGTCATAACTCGCGCCAAGTGAATGTGCAGACTTGGATCTCACTCACTCTGAACTGACTCCGCAGATGGGCGGCAAGACAAAACAGGCTCTGCTGACTTTTGTAGATGCTCACAGAATGGGCAATACGCAGGGTCTGCCTGAATCTTTCAGATCAAAAAGAGCATCTACCTGAGGCCTGGGTAAGCAGGGCCAGAGCTCCCTAAGGAGGCTGGGGCAGAAGTGCAGGTGCTGGCTTCAGAGTCAGGAGACTGCGTTGCAAGGACCACTGTCCACTTAGCACCTGCTCTGGGAAGGCACTGAGCACACAGCCACCCTGGGTGGTGGCTGAAGGGTGCAAAGATGATAATAAGCCACCTCCTGCCCTCCAGGACCTGGGCAAGGGGAAAATAAGGCAGGCCCCGCATCCTCAAAGCCCAGCCTGGCATCACTGGAAAGTACAAAATGCCACTGGCGTTGAGGAAAAGGTCACATCTGGCACTGGGAAATCAGGAAAGCCTCCTTGTCGGCAGACCTGCAAGGTGAGAGCATCCTGGCCAAAATCCAGCGGACCACTTATTTGATGACCTTGTTCCAAGGTCACTTCATAAGCCCAGGATTGTACTTCATCTGCCAAGTCTGGATTGATGTCTCCTTCCCACTCTCAGTCCCTTGGAAAAGCAGGTCTGAGTAAAAGCCATGTGCTATTCTTATCCTCAGGAGTAAAGCCAAGAACATGGCTCCAAGATCCTCCGCCCCCAGCTCCAAGCCGGGCCCCAGCACGCACAGAGGACAAGCTCCAGCCAAGGGCCGGGCCCAGCCGAGCCCCAGAGCTCTGGTGGGAATGTGTTGAATTGAATGGAAGTAGCCTTGAGGGAGGCCAGACAGCATCTGTCATTCGACCATTGTCAGACCAGCTCAGGGCAGGGCCCCGCACCTGGCACACACAGGGGCCGGTCTAGGGATTTTGGAAAAGTTACACACAAGATAAAGCTGCCCTCTCAATGACCTGGTTTTCATTCAAAGACCAGCCCCAGTCTGACCTCCCTCTTCTGAGCCTTCTTAGACTCCATCAGATGTCAGTGTTGCTGCCCGTACTCAGGTGGATGGTCACTTCCGTATCCGCTGAACCTGGATGGACTGTAGCTGTTGTTGCATTACCCAGACCTGCATTGGCTGCAGCCTTTACATCACCTGTACCTGGATTAACTGTCTTATCACCTCCACCTGGATTGATTGTTGCTTCCATAATTACCTGTACCTGCACTGTCCCTTTGGTGTCACCCATACCTCTACCGATTGCTATTTCCATATCACCTGTACCTGCATTGGCTGTAGCTGCTGTATCACCCAGACCTGGACTGACTGCTGTTTCCTTTTCACCCACACCTGGATTAACCGCCACTTCCTATTGCCCGCACCTGGATTGACTGTTGCTGTCGTATCACCCATACCCAGATCAACCACAGCCTCTGTATCCCCTCACCTGGACAGGCCAGATTGCCTGTGTCCAGGTGTGTATGTGGGTGCTGGTTTCTCACAGCAGGTCACACACAGAAAATGGCCAGTAGATGCTGTGCAGCCGGATACTATGACCTCTTTCTTTCTTGTCAACCGGCACCCCAGAGACCTTCTTGAAATCACCTGTGGCACTGTGGTTTGAAGTTCCAGGGAAGACACTGAAACTGCTCAGTGGCCCTCACCAGGCAGGAGAGCTGATTTCCCGAGAGGCTGTGTGAACTGGACCCCCAGTGCAGCAACCCCAGATGTGGGGACTTCACCCAGCAGTGTTGAGACACCTCCGGAGCCCAGAGGTGGTCTCATTCTCCTCCTGCCACTGCAGCCCCACCTCGCCCTTCCTCCATCGCCGCCTGCCCCAACACTTAGGCCCAGCACAAGGGCGACAGGGACCCGAAGGTCTGGGAAGATGGCCCTTGGTCCTGGGAGAATGTAACAGGCACACACAAGACAGAGTGAGGACTGAGTTAGGAAAGGTTCCGTGGTGGAAATCTAACCCGAACTGAAAGGAAACCTCACCTGTAACCACCAAGAGATTCGGTCTGACTCAGTGGCTTAGAAACTGGTATCCAAAAACAGCCCAGCTGGTGAGCCAGGAAACTTCGCTACATTTCCACTGCTGTGCAGCCCTCAGCTGCCTTTCTCAGACCCACTCTGGAGGGGGGGCGGGGGGAGAACATAAAACCAACCTCGAGAATTCTCCCCTGATCCCCTGGGCCCATGCAGGCTAACAGAATCCTGGTGTTCCAGCCTGCACAGGGCCTGCGTGCACCAACACAAGACAAAGGGGCTTCTTGGAGCCCCACCCACCCACCCTAGCTGCTCTGTAGTCGGGCCCCCAACCCAAGCTTCCTCCTTGGCTCTCTTGGACCAGCCTCTCCCCAGCACACCCGCCCCAGAATTCTGTTTCTTTACAAAGTCAATGCCCCTGGAACAGTTAGTTCTGAGGAAGGACCCGCCAGAGCAAGCGCAGACTCCAGCAAGAATCAGCCCAAGGAGCAGACACAGGATACACGAGCGGAACAAGGCTCTGGGGCTGGAGACCCAAGTCTCCGGCTCTGGCTGAGGCTGTTTGTACAGCCACGAAACAGGGCAAGCATTCCCCCGGAGGGGAGCTACAGTGAAGGTGGATAAGGTGACACACAATGTGCTTGGGCGTCGACTGCATCTGGCGCATGGACCCATCACACCTTCGTTTGTCTCTCCTGGGCCAGTCACCCTACTCATTTCCCTGTCCCCAACATCTTCCCTTAAAAACAAACTGCTCCCTCCCCCAAACTGAACAGCCTAGGAATTCTCCCTGCTAATCCGAAATCTGTCCACCGCCCCAGAGGTAAGGGAGAGTGCTCTGTTCCTGCCAGGTACGGGGAGCCAGCAAGAGCAGTGGGGCCAGGGTGCAAAGGGGCCTTGGCTCCTTTCTGTGGTCCTTGTGCTCTTGGATCCCGAAGTCAGATTCCAGCAACAACACCCATGAGAAACAACTCCGCAGCTCTAATGAGATGGAACATTACCTGAATCAGCTGGCCAGGTATCAGCACTAGAAAGAGAGCTGGGCGGGCCTAGCCCCTGCCCCATGACACCATCCTTCCTCACAGCCATGTGTCCGTGGCCTAAAGCATGGCTGGGAAGGCAGCTCTGAAACGCACAAAGTGCGTCCTCCTTGGCTGCTGTGAATGGAGGAGTGCACAGAGCCAGATGGCTAATCAACAGCCATGACCGCCTCAGCACCGCCTCTCACCAAGCTGTGGCTCTCCCATGATCCCATGTGGTGAGGACTACTGTTGCCCCATTTTACAGATGAAAAAACTGAGGCCTACTGGCATCCGGGGACTTTGCTGAGATCACACAGCTCTTTACAAGTGGCGCTCGGAAGCAAAAGCAAGTCTGCCTCCATCCGCAGCAAGAGCCGTGAGACCCTGCGAAGAGTCAGCAGGACTTCCATACCTACCTGGTAGGAAAGGCCGTCCTTCCGGGGGCTGAGGCCAATCTCCTCCATGGATGGGGTGTTCATCATCACCTCGGTCATCTCGGCCGATCTCAGATAGTCAGGGCTGCCAAGAAACCCAGACCCAAAGTCAGCAAACACAGGCACTTTCACGTTCCTCCTCTCGGGTGCGTGCGCTGCCAGGAGATCAGGGGAGCGTCTGGAGACAGGATGAGAGGGATTCGCAGAAAAACAAGCTCGCGCGCTCTGAGGAAGTGCCTTGCAAACCCACAGCAACAGGGCTCCCAGCCCCAGTGGACAAAGCCCACTGCCCCTGGCAAACCGCCATCGCCCTCCTCTCCTGCACGGGAGACCCCTGGCACAGAATGACCCTGGGTTTCCTTTAAGTGACAGCACCAGGAAAAAACCAAAACAGTAGGCAGCTGATCTCTCTGTCTATATGAAAATCAATCCAGCCGGGTCTCCCTCTCCCCTCCAACTAAGCATAAAAATAACCCTCATGAATTTTCCAAAGGGAAATTGCAAATCATAATTACACAATAATGGTAACAGGTCAGCCTCGGGGAAAACAAAGCCCAGCACGAATCCCCCTGCCTACATTTCTCTCCATCTCTCTGGTGCTCCTTTTGGCAAAATGTCCCACTGGAAGCCCCAAGGGGTCAGCTTTCTGCAAGCTCCACATCTGTCATCCAACCCCCTTCTCCAGCCCGAGCCACGGCAGCTGCAAGCTCACAGCTTGAAAAACATCCCCTGGATTAAAAGCCTTAAGGATACCCGGACTCTGATTGCAAAGGAAATTTCCAGAGGGGCCACGCTGGCCCACCAATGGCTGACATGTGAAAGTGCTTTGTACTCTGTAAGCCGGATACAAACGTCCCATTATCCTAGCACCAGCCCTGGGCACACACAGGACCCTATGTGCATTATGCCACATATACAGCCCAGACCCGGGTCCTGGCTACACAACACCCAGTATTTCCACTGGGCAGGCTTTAGAGGGAGTCTACCTAAGGGAACGGGGACGCCAGACTCCTTGCAAGGTTCATACACAGTGGAGAAACTGCATTGGATTTGGGAGCAGAAGCAATGGGTGCTGCCCTCAAGAGCTGAGTGATACAGAACAGGTCCTGTAATCTCTCAGAGTCACAGGTGTCCCGTGTTCGCGTGTTACTTGTATGTTGATCTTGGGTGTCTCGCAAGTAAGGGGAAAGGTTGAAAGGTTACTGCTCATCAGCTAGCTGACCCTAAACCTCAATTTCACAAGGGGCACTATCCCCGATGGGCTCTGCCACCACTGGGGAAAAGCGGCCAACAGCCTGCGAACCCCAGCCACAGGACACCTGGCCGCTCCCTCACCACAGGGTGCAGTGTACCTGGGCTCCTGGAAGGGGGGGGCCTGGATGAGTCTCGGGGTGGGGGGATTTTTACTTTGCTTGGAGAGTTCAGTCCTCTCTCTGAACACAGGCAGGCTGGGGCGGAAGCGAGAGACCAAGGGAGGATGTGGCAGAGGATTGGATCCGGAGCCAGGACCCCCACGGCACAGTCTCTTCCCGGGCCGCGCCCCTCCCTCCTAGAGGAATGCTCAAGCAGGGGAGGGCTCTTCTGATGTAGGGGGGCTGATCCCCGCTCGAGGGTTTGGCGCAGGCCCCGAAAAGTTGGGGCAAGAAGAGTGAACTTCCTGGTTCCCAGGCTCGGCAGGACGGCGCCCCGAGACTTGAGCCCGTTTCCTCTCTCAGGGTGCCGAACCCCGACCCCAGGGCCTGGCTCTCCACAGCCGCACCTTCGGGCGCGCTCCGGGGCGCTTGCCCCTGGGTCTGCTCCCCAACCCCAGCGCAGGAAGGAAGAAGCGGCCAGCGCGCGAGTCCCGGCAGCCAAGGCCTCTCTCCGCACCCTTCCCCACCCGGGTCCCCCGCTGGGGGCAAACCTCCGCCGCCGCCCCTCGGCCCAGCTCGGGAAGGGCGGCTCATCGCCAGCAAGGACCGGCACTGAAGGCTGGACGGGTTTGGGGGGCTACCGAGCGAGCAGGGGTCGAAAGTGTGCTGCGTGGGAGCTGCTGTTTGTGGCTTCAGTGGGGTTGCGGGTGGGGAAGGCGTCTCTCCCCCTGCCCGAGCTTTGCAAAAGCGGCGGCTGCACCAGCTCAGCCTGGCTGCAGCCTCGACGCCGAGACTTGCATGCAAACAAAAAGAAAAAAGGGGAGGGGCCCGGCAGAGCGGGAGCCCCTGCGCCAGGGGGGCGCGCGCCTCCCGCAGCTCTCTGCAGAGAGGGGGTCTCGTGGGCTGGGAGGGGGGCTCAGAGGCAACCCCTGGCTCGACGCCGCCACAGCTAGCACCACACACGCCCTCCAGCAGTCACTCCGCTGAGCGCTCCGAGTTCACTTCCTTTGTCTGGATGCTCTCAGCGCCACCTCCCCCCACCCCCACCCTCGCAACCTTGACGTTGACTCCTGCACGGGCTCCGGCTGCGGGTTTGCGCGGGGCGCGCACTCCCCCGGCTGCACTCGCCCCGGAGCCACGGCAGCGAGACGGGCGCCCGCCGCGGGCACCGGGTACTCACCAGTGAATGGGGAAATATACAGACATGAAGTCCTAGGGGAGGCTGACCCGCGCCCTCGTGATTGAAAAATGGTCACCGCGTCCCGGGAGAGAAGGACACGAGTGCAGACGGGCGCGGCAGGCGGCCGAGAGAGGTGCCGGGCGTAAGCGGTTCCGCCGTCCCGAAACAGCCCCACTGCCAGCGGCGTCGGCGGAGCGCGCTGAGCTCCCCGCTCACCACCGCGATCCCGGCCCCACAAAGAGCCCGGGAGGCCGCATTTATAGGGGAGGGGGGAGGAGCCTGGCCCCGAGAGGCCCCGCCCCCTCACCCACTCCTGGAATAACGTCACCAAAATCATGAATGGCTTGGGCGCTCGCAGCTCGGGCGGGCGGCGGCTCGGGGACGCGCTCGGCTCTGCTCCCCAGGGCCGTGGTTTGCTGCAGCTCCCGGCCCGGCCCCTCCCCGCGACTCGCACGCGCGCACACACGCACGCCCCGGGCTGGAGTTCAATGTCAGCGCGGCGCCCGCAGCGCGTCCCTGCACCCCCAGGGTCCTCCGAGGCGACCGGGCTGAGCGGGCGGGATCGCCGGGGCCGCTCCGCGCCGGCGGAGGGCGCAGTTCCTTCAGCCTCGGTCCGCGCTCGCCGACCTGGCCCAGCCCTCGGGGCCCCCTCTTCTGCATCCACACCTGGACCAGGCTTCTCCGCGGCGCCCGGGACGCGTCCCTTCTCCCCCGGGCTGGCTGTGCGAGGGGCTGTGCGGTTGCCGTGAGCCGAAAAGCGTCCGATTCGTGGGAGAAAGGATGTGTTGTCGGCTTGGGGTCTTTCCGCTGTGGGACGCGCACTCGCACCAGCGCACCCCACGAGCCTCGGCGCCCTAATCGGCGCGGAAGAGTCCCTCGCTGCGTGACAGCCGCCACAAAGGGGGTCGGGAGGAACAGGTCCCGCGCCTCCCAGGCTGGCCAGCGGCGCAGCCTGCAGAGCAGGACGATGAGAGCCCAGCTGGGCCACTGGGGGGCCTCCGCGGCCGTGACGCCAGAGGCGGTTTTCAAACACTAGGCAATATTAAAATCTGCCTTGAAGACAGGCGGTTTTGCAAGGCAAGACAGGGAATATATTGAACCCCTGTGTACGTGCTCAAAAGTGGGAACACAGACGTCTCAGGGAGGAAAGATGCAGGAATGAATGGGAAGAGATCAGCAGGGGCAGGGTCCTCAGAGGCAGGGGAGGGGACCCTCGTGATTCCATCAGTGCCCCCTGTCAAAACCAACCCAAAGAAAAAACAATTGATAGCTTTGCTGTTGTCAGCCCTTCCTGTAGTCAACCGGAGTAAAAACTGCACCCAGAAACGCGCTGCTTCCTGACAAGCCCCTAGCTGCCCCCTCTGCCGGAGAGATGCAGGAGCACCCCCAACCCCATGGATCCCGCGCACTAAACCAGAAATCCATCAGTGCTACCAGAAGCCGCCTTCCGCTCCCCCCGCGTTGGTGTCCCGATTGGAGGGGGAGGGGGAGCTTTTGCAGAGAGGTGTTCCTGCTTCCAGGGGGGCTGTGGGTGCCTTTTGTGCCCTCCACGTTCATGTCTGGGTGTGACTTGTCCAGGCAGCTGAAGGAGAAGCCAGGACTGGGAGGGCAGGTTTCCCGGCTGGGACTTTCCAGGGCCCTCCGAGGAGGGTGCTGAGCCAGGCCCCCGGGGCCAGCAGGGCGAAGCCTTCTGCCAGCTCTGCCCAGCAGCCACCTCCAGCAGGGGCTGGGCAGAAAGGCTGTGGCGATAGATCCACTTTGCTCATCTGCGGTGATGGCCTTGTGGCGCTTTCCCAACTCAGGAAGCTGACCTCCGCCTGCCCCTCCCCACACAGGGTCACACACACACCTGAGCCTGAGAGTCACACCGCCCAGCTCCGGAAGAGGCTGGGAAGTAACCCCTGGGAAAACTCATTAGGGTCACTCTCAGAGGCCGCTCTTGGCGGAACGCTGTGTAAATGCCGTTGTAGGTGAATCTCACCTCCCTCAGGAAGTTAGAATAGAAAATGGGCCTTGGGCTGGGACCTCAAACCTGTCTCTCCTCTGGGACTAGAGCAACATTCATTCGTTTGAAAATCCAGGAGGCCCTATGCTGAACTCTGATGCAACCATAATTAGTGTGCCCTTTCTCAATACTGCTACTACTTTACATAACGTCCCGCACCTTTTCAAAGCATTTTCATTATCTTGGCTTTCAAGAGTGTGATAAGGTTAACAAAGCAGTCCCCAGTCCACAAACCGGCAAACTGAGGCTGAAATAAGTTATCACACGTGCCAAGGATCGCAGGGCTGGAAAGCGGTTGGCCTGGGCCTGCCACTCAGAGGTCCCACTCAGTTCCATTGCTCAGCCTTGCTGCATTTCCTTCTCTTCTCTAGAGAGACCCAGTATTTTAACCTGCGCACTGACCAACGCTCTATGCGATAGGTTTTTATCCCTGCTGCCTTTGAATACAAGAGGAAACAGAAACACCAGCGAATAAAGTTACTTAGAGCCCCAGAACCCTAGAGCTAAAAGAGACCTTCCAAATCACCTAGTCCTGTCTTCTCATTTTACAGGTGAGAAGACATCCGAGAGATTAAATCGCATGGCCAAGGTCGACAGGCTATTAGGGGTGCAGATGGAACCTGAACACAGGCCTCAGACTGCTGGGCAGTGTTCTTTCCACGCGACGGCACTGCATCTTAAGCTGCATTGGCCAAGAAGTCAGCAGCGAAGTTGAGATGCGATTCTGCTTCTATAAAAATCCAGGTGAAATCAGAATTGCCTTATTTCCCAGCATTACATAAGTCCAGTTACCCAGCTCCCTCTCTCCCACCTAAAATAATTTTTTAAAAAGAGGAATAAAGGTAATGAACTTGAAATCTTATTAGAGTTACCTCAGTTGCAGCTGTGCCATGGGGTGCAGAACCTGTAGCTAATTATTTGTTTTAATTTTTAAAAGTCTCCACCTGAATCTGTTTGGTAATGTAGTCCTACATTTTTCTACTCTCCGGCTTCCAAAAAAGACAGTGTTGCATTAATTTGCCCAGGAGTGGTGAAGCCGGCAGCTTCAATTAGCTCTCAGGGGCCTAAGGTGGCTGACCTTGAGGAGGAAGATAGGGGAAGGGAAGGGACATTTGCTGAGCTGCCCTCACAGTTATGCCTCACAACCACCTGACATTAGGTTCCTATTGGCCCCACTTCACAGGTGGAGAAGTAGAGGCCCTGAGAAGGTAAGTCACTTGGCCATGGCCGCATGGCTGTCAAATGGCTGAACCACAATTTGACTGTGGGGTTTACTGGTTCCAACACCTCTGTTCTCTCCCTCGATACCACACTCATCATGGCTTCTGTGGCTTTGTCTGGGTTTACAGCTAGGCTATGAACTAAACGCAAAAGTGTCAGTTCCATTAACAAAGACCAGGACTCCTGGTGTCCACCGAGTAGGGCAGAGCTGGCAGAATAAACAAAGTGTGCACCCTGTGAATCTGGGAGCTTCTTAAAGATGCCACTCAAAGACTTGGGTTTAAAAAAAAAAAAGTGAGTAGGAGATGGGGAGTTTCTAGCCAATTTTTCGGTGAAGCTCATTTGACTACACAAGAAATCTGAAAGGCAAGACTGTGTGTGGGTTGAGGTGAGGATGAAATGAGATAATGTTATGAAAACACTTGGTACACTGGAAAGCACGGAGCAGACCCGGACTTGTTTGTAAGGTATCTGGGGGAAAGCGGGGGCTGGCGGGGTTGATTGTACCTGCTTCAGGTTTTACTCTTTTCATTCACACACTCCCCCTGGAGTCCCTTGACTGACACTTCCAGCTTTTACAGGGGTGGGGGGGCAGACATCAGAGGCAATTAGGGGTGCCCTGCTTGGCGGCCACTAATGGGCTCCCAGTGTCCTGGAATGCCCCCCTCACTCCCATCAGTTAGTTGCTCTCATCTTAGAAGTACCCAGCTGGCCTGTGATGAACCAGGGAGACCCAAGGATGTGCCCAGGCCCCAGCTCCAAGGGCATTAAAAGTCAAGAGCATGGCGCAAGCCGCACCCCCCAGGCCAGATCCTCCAGTCCTTGACTGGCCCTGCTGTCTGTCCTCTGGCAAGCGGCACACCCTCTCGGTGTCACAGAGTCCTCCAGCCATCAAAGCTGGCACTGGAAGTCTCTTTTTCCAGGTCTGGGGGCGCGAAGGCAGCCGCAACAAAGTGCTTCTATACATGCTCAAAGAAGTGCTTTGCACCAGGGCTCGGCAGCCCCATCTGAAAGCCCAGGATCCTCTTACCACGGGCTGTCCCGGGAGGCTCCTCCATCTAGAGCCCGCTGGCCCCCAGAAGGAGCCTGCAGCTGGCAGCCCATGAGCTCACGCCTTCCCAAATATCAAAGAGATCCACCCCCCTTTTTCTTTTCTTCTCTCAAGGGACCTTTGAAGCAAAGGGATTTTTCGGAGAAAGAAAGCTCTATGGAGTCTTTAGGGTCTCGGCCCTAAAAGACAACGCTGGAACTGGAATCAGCTCAAGGCTCTCATGTCCAATTAAGGAAACGCTCACATTCCTGCGCCAGCTCTGGCCCTATCTTGCTTACGCTCTCTCCACATCCACATAGGAATGCGCCCCGACAGCCAGAAGGGAGAGCTGACTGTCACCAGGATGCAGGTCCTGTGGCGGAGGGCTCCTTGGAGGGGCTCAGACCTTCCCCTGGGGGCCCGGACCACAGCACAGCGCAAACCCCCTCCAGACCACTCTGCGTCTCCCCATGGCACCCACACCCCTGCACCCGAGAAAGTCGAGCGTACCTGTGGGACTACGGAAAAAGAGGACAGCACAACCGATTCTCACGAGAAGAGCACTTTCAGTTTTCTTTTCTGTGGGCAGGATGTCCGCTAGCTTCCTCCAGCGGCGGCTGGTCCCTGCTGCTTTCACACGCGCTGCCGCCCCTTGGCTCCTTGGCTCCATGCAGGAGCAAGCGGCTGCGTGTTATGCACCCGGGAACTGCTCCTCCTGGGGCACCTCTGCCTGCTCCGCAGCTGTAACCCGAGCCAGCACCTGCTCACTGGAGCCCCTGGTGCACTTCACACCCTTGGGATCAGATGGCTGGGTCCCTGCTGCGCCTTCCTGCCCCACAGCAACAACCCCAACGGGCACCGGTGTGCACTATGTGCCACCCACGTGTGTTATCTCCACGGAATTGCTCTAGGAGAGCTTCCCTCCTCCCCAGACCACCCCAAATCAGCACACCCTCTGCATGGTCACAGTGTGTGTTTCCTTTCCACACAGCTTT